CTATGAGTCAGATTCGACTCAATGGCAGTGAGTTTGGTTTACTTTTTATATGCCTGTGTGTATGTGTCAGTTTTATCATTTTAACTGCTGCAAGGCAGGCTCAGTAGTAGCTATTCCATCATGGCCAAAAGCCAAACTCAGATTCTTTTGTTTTCTTTTAAGACTTTATTAGTTGGTAATTCGTATGCACTTCACTTAAGTTTTAAGAGAAGATTGTTGAAATAGTTTCTAGGTAAGGTAAAAGTTATAGCACCTCAAAGGAGGTACTGGGAAAAATTTTTAAATTGTTCATGTTTGTGGTGAGTATTGTCCTCCTTCTCTCTCCTCACCTACCACCCTTCTACTTCCCTCATGTCATATCCACTAGATCCTGCTGAGAAATTCTTAGTGGGTAATGTTTTATATAATCCGATAAAATGATGTTTTTCATCAATTTTTACTTTTTTAAATTTTCTGTTGAAGGAAACTTTTTTAGGGGAAGGCAAGTAAATGAGGGCAGGAGGTAATGAAGATCAGTGCCAACAGCTAGCATCATATTCCCACACCTTTTGCTTCTCTTCCTCCACACCTATGACCACAAGCTTCTACCTCAAAAAGTTTTCACAGTTTCAACAATTGTGGGGGAGCGGTGGAGCAGGAGAAGCTGTTCTGCTGGAGGGACTGTTTGTTAGTTGGTATTTTTAAGTAAGGTTAAGCTTGCTTTTTATTTTAGGAAGCATAACAAATTTAAAATCCCAACTACACAAGGCAGAGTTAGTCCTGGGGAAATATAAATTTTTTAATTCTCTTGTTTAAAGCAATAAATGTATAACTCTATTCAATAAATGTAGTTATTACAAAAACGATACTCGACTCCATATTTTGGATAGAAAAGGTGACATGCCTGAAGGAGTGAGGGGAAAAAGACACACAGATGCCACAGAAAGAGACTAGGACAAAGGGTGAAGATACAGCTGCAGGTCTGAAATCTCCACTTTATTACTTACTCGGGTGACAAAGGACCTCAGACTTATTGTAGTAGCTATGAGTCAGACTTGACTCAATGGCCACGGGTTTGGTTTGGTTTTTGGTACTGTTCTTAGGCTGCTGAACCATAGTGGATCTGTTTTAATCCTTAAGCTTTTGTCAGCTGCCCTGCAACGAAGACCCTTAAGGCTGTAAGATCGGTGATCAGAACAGCCTTATCAACCATCAACTAACTCAGTCAGCACTCAACAAATCATTAATAAATTTCTACTTCACAGAAAGTACCCTGCTAGTCATTTTAAGAACTACCATTATGTTTAAAACATGCTGCCTAGGTTTAAAAAGTTTACAGACTATCAATCTGACAGCTTTTTGCTTTAAAACTACATGTTACAAGTGCATCAATCTGGCATACATTTCCAATAGCCAGAGGCTGCTGGCTATTTCTGCTCTTAGCAACAGACATAGGCCACCCTGGTGGTGCAATGCTTAAAGCACTTAGCTACTAACCAAAAGGTCAAAAGTTCGAATCCACCAGCAGTTCTGCAGGAGAAGTCCTCAGCCTATGAAACCTTACAGAACAGTGCTACTACTCTGGTCCTACAGGGTCTCTGTGAGTCTGAATTGACTCAACAGCACTAAGCAACAACAGCAACAGACAAAACCCAAAGACTGAAAGAAGCAGGAACCAAAGAAGGGTTGCTGAAAGGATTAAATAAATTAATCTATACAAAGCACTGAGAACATTCCTACCATATAGTAAACACTCTGATATTTGCTACTGGTATTATTATTAAAATGAAACATACAGGTAAGTTCTTATTTCACATTTTTTAATGAATATACATTTATATGGTAGTTCTGGTAGCGTAGTGCCTAAGGCACTTGACTGCTAACCAGAAGGCTG